AACTACACGCTCAGGTCCCCTGGTTCCAGGGCAAAGGGCCTTTCTGACCAGCTTCAGTTCCACCCCCTCGAACCCTCACTCCCTGGTGTCTCCTAGAAGTACCCAGATGAATTATCTCTTGCCTCCCTTATGGTGTGGCCCAGAGCCCTGTGGAACAGCCCTGTGCTTACCCTGGCCCTGGCAGCTTTTTCATTCTTCTCCCTGTCACTAGACTAATGGTTTCTCTAAAAAGCTTCAGCCCTCCAGGCTGCAGTGTCAGCAGCTCTGGGTGGCCCAGCACATACTTCCTCCAGGTACATGTGAGCATGCTGGAAATCCTGGTCCCACCCACACATCCTGGCCGGGTAGCCTCCCCCTCTTCCACTTTGCAGCCTTCACATTCTCCACTCCCACATTTACATTTCATCGGAGTCAACCCCAGGCTTTCTGTGATCTCCCCCATCAATCCACAGTGATGTTTTTGGCTATATACCCCCTGTCCCTGGAAATGATTTCCCACCACTCCAGATGCAGACACATGGACCTCCCTCTCTTCCCAGCACACTTTCCCTTCTGTGCCCATCTGTCCTCAGAGGTGCCAGAAAATGTATTTGGGGTTCATTTGCTCATTCAGCAAAGTTGTCTAAGTACCTACTATGCATAAGGCCATATTCTTTACCTTCAGGATTTATAATCTAAGAGGAGAGGTGAGAAAAAAAACCACACACTATAACATGGAAGAATAATAATACATAGGAGTAATAACATGGGAGAAAGTACCTCTTTTGAGAGACAAGGTGTTGGTGAGGCCTAATCTGCATAATCTGGGAATTCTGGGTTATCATGTCTGAATGCCAGGAACTCCTAAAAAACTTTGAAAAAAACTTTGAGTCTGATAATCAGGTCTCAGGGGACTGGGTAAAGACTCTTAAAGACAAGATAAAGGATAAATCAACTGTGGTTCTTCCCTGTGGACTTAGGACCACATCAGCTAGAATGGAGCAAAGGAACATTAAAAACTCCAGGTTCCTTTTTGCTAAGAATGAGCTGAATTAGCTTTCTAAGAAAGCTTCTTCTAATTTTGAGATTCCCTTTGGCAATAAGCCCTCTTAATTGCTCTGAAGTTCACATGACTATTTGAAGCAAAAATTATAACATTGTCTTGTGGGTTTTATAATATATGTAGATGAAATACACATGATAACTATAGCAGAAAGGATGGGGGTGGAGAGTAATGGACCTCTGTGGTTGCAAGGTTTCTACATTTTACTTGAAATAGTAACCCTAAGTGGACTGTGAAAAGTTAAGGATATATATTGTAATCCCTGAGGCAGTAATAAAAAAATTAATGCAAAGAGGTATAGCTACAAATCCAATAGATAAATTTAAATGGAATTCTAAAAATCTAAGAGAAGGCAGAGAAGAAGGAACAGAGAAATAGAAAACAGAGGAGGCAAATAAAACTAAATGTAACCATATCAATAATTACATTAAATGTTAATGGACTAAACATTTCAATTAAAAGGCAGAGATTGTCAGAATAGATAAAGGAAAAAAAACCTTTGTAATCTACAAGAGATACTTTACATTTTTTTATTTATTATTAAAAACAATGTTTTTAATGTTTTTATGTATTTTGAGACAGAGCATGAGCAGAGGAGGGGCAGAGAGAGAGGAGACACAGAATCCGAAGCAGGCTCCAGGCTCCGAGCTGTCAGCACAGAGCCCAATGCGGGGCTCGAACCCATGGACTGTGAGATCATGACCTGAGCCGAAGTTGGATGCTTAACTGACTGAGCCACCCAGGTGCCCCTCTACAAGAGATACTTTAAATATAAAGACACAGATATGTTGAAAATAAATGGATGAAAAATGATATACATTCAAAAACTGGAGAAACTGTATAAATACCAGATAGAATAGATTTCAAGCCAAAGGATATTACCAGAGATAAAGAGGGATATTTTACAATGGTAGAAGGGCCAATCCATCAGGAAGTAAAAACATAAGTATGTATGCAACTAATAACAGCGCTTCAAACACATGAAGCAAACATTGACAGAATTAAAGGGAGACATAGAAAATACCATAATCAGAGATGGAGATTTCATCAGTAAGGGTGGAGTTGTCTGATTGCACATCTGGGACAAATGGGTTTGGAAGGTCATCCTCTAGGCCAGGGCCTGGCTGTGGGTTGTGGTGAGAAACTTCAAGGAAGGGAGTTAAGCAGCAGTTCAGCAACAAAGCCTGGAGAGGTTCTTTAAGGATGGAATACTAATGGTTCCAGGTGATTTTTATGGAGACCCTATAGCTCAGGCCCCAGTTGAGGTGGGGAGGGAGTGGTTGAAGGTATTGAAGCTCGTTCTGAAGATAGTAGTAATAATGCCTGTGTGGCGATGGCCATTCTGTTCCAGAACAGGATGCCAAGCAGTGGAGCAGAAAGCAGCAGCAGAAAGCCCAAACAGTCCTCACTGATTTCATTATTAGCTGCTCAGAATTCCTTTATAATATACCTGATGATGTGGGCTCAGGTGTCAAAGATTACAGCAAGAGCTAACCTTAACCTTAAATGTTACCAGGACTGATGGGGTCTGGAGAAGCAAGAGGTCGCCCACTAGTTCTCCAGCTGAGTGTGCATCAGAATCTCCTGACGGGCTTGTTAAAACAGATTGCTGGGACCCATGCCCAGAGTTTCTGATTCAGCAGGTATGAGGTGGGGTCTGCTGCTGCTGCTGTTGGTCTGGAGATATTCTTGGAGGACCACTAAGGTGAACAAATGCCAAGGGGGCCCAGAAGAGGAAACAGGCCTTTGGCACAATGAGTCAGTGTGGAAGGTCATAGATGGAGGCCAGGGTGAAGGGCCTTCCAGGCAGAGGAGAGTCTAGCAGATGGTGCACTTCAGGGGCTGAACTGGAATGTCCATATGAGGAGCAAAGCGGAAAAGCCTGGTAAGATGGACCTAACTTAGCAGTGAAGAGCACAGTTTCAGAAATCAGATACGCGAGTTTGAATCCTGATTCTGCTACTTATTTTTTGCATGACCTAAAGGAGGTTACCTAATCTTTTGGGCCTTGTTTCCGCAATCTGCAAAGTGGGGCTAATGCTAATGTCTACTCTCAGGATTGTTAGTGAGGGAGTGCATGTAAATGCCTGACATAGAGTCAGAGCTCGGTCAATTAATGCTAGGTTGTTGCTGAATACAGGTTTGAGGATTTGTACCATGTGTGGGCTGATGTTGACTGAATCAGGCCTGGGCCGAAGCTATGGCAAACTAGTCAGTATTTTGTGAAACCCTTCCTGAAGGCACTAGTCTTTTGGCTCAAAGAGTTCCAGTCCTCCTGCTCAAGTCTGGTCACTTTCCTCAAAGTCAGGTTGTCCCCCACCCCCAGCTCTGCTCTGTCCTTCCTGAGCCCCTTGGCCACCAGGAGGGGTCGCGGAGGCAGCTCCACGGGGGGCCCAGGCAGAGGAGCTACAAGCCACCTAGCCTCTGAATTTATTCTCCTGGCTTTGAGTTATCAGCTGGCATCCAACAGAGCAAATGGCAGCAGCTTTTGGATTTCTTTTTTTAAAGTAAGAAGCGAAGGGATTTAGTCCATCTGCATTAAGGAAAGGGAATTCATTCCTCCCCCCACCCCACCCTGTGTTCTGAGATAAAATGGTTCATTTCCATGAAAATTGAAACTCAGAGAAGAATCCTTGTTGCAGTGCCTCTTGGACTGTGAGCTAAGGGGGGTGGAGTGATGTGGACAGGATAGAGAACCGTGCCTTTCGCCATCTTCTGTGGGCACTGCAGAGGCCCCCGGTGCATGGGCACTGGCTCCTAAGTGGCCCTTGTATTGTTCTGAGCCTCTGTGCTGGCGGCTGTACAGGAATATAGGTGCTGGCTTAGATTAGAATGTTTCCATAACCCTTTGGAAATTGTATTCAGCCTCCTGTTCCCCATCTTCTGTGGGAACCAGACTATTACCTGGGCCACTATCCCTCGCCCCAACCCCATATAGTTCAAGCTTGCTTTTCTGCTTCTGACCTAGCCACCACTTAGGCCTTTGCATGCCTTGTGGCCACGTCCTTTCACAGGGCCTTCCCGTGGAGAATGGACAGGGACAGAATGGGCAGGCACTGATCCCAGCAACTAGAATTTCCCATGGCAGTTTCCTCACCCTGGGACTTGTCCACAACCAATTCTCACCCCTCAGTAAGGGTGCCTGGCCCCCAGCACCATCTCAGTTAATCGCCATCCCCACCCCCTGCTTTCTGTCTCTGTGGTTTAAATGAAGCTCAGGATAAAGCCAAGCCTGGTCATCTCGGGGAAGCATTGTTCGTGGTTGGAAATCATGAGTAAATTTTGAAAAATAGTCAAAGAAAATCCTGCTTAGGAAAGCAAGTTTCCCAGCAGGGGGAAAAAAAAGCCAACTGGCAAAGTCCAACAGGAATATTCAGAAATAGTCTTTGGATTATTCACCTTTGGTATCATCCACCCCCTCCCCATCCTTCCCTGAAGCATGGGTAACCAAGAGATACCCACATTAAGGTGATTGTCTAGGAAGAATCAACTTGGACATGAAGCCAAATTCCTGAGCAGTTTCCCCTGCAATCCAGATTCCCTCACACTGCCTTCTCCAACTCCTTCTTCATCCAAATGCAGTTCACATTATGCATCTGCTACCTGGGGGCTGTTGGCCCTGGCAGATGTTTGCGGCAGAACCCTGGGACTGATCCAAGGGTTAGACCTTCTGGGCCCTGCGTGGGGAGGTACAGCTTAAAGGTGTAGGTGGATTTATCTCATCGGCCAAGTATTGCCTGAGTGAGTGTCTGCGAGCACAAAAGGACAGTGAACTCCTCTCACTTAGCCTTGCAAATCAGTCCCCCAACTTTCCCAGCCCACGTGGGGGTATTTTTCTCCCCTAGGACTCAGTAGAGAATAAATGAGGCAGCAGCTCAGGTGGGAGGTGGGGGACCTGGTTCTGAAATGGCTGAGTCATCCCTCTGGTCTTCCCCCTTCTCCCCACCCTCTACCATAGCTTTTGTTCAGCTCCATCTTCCCTTGCCCCAAGGGACCAGCCTCCCTGCCTCCACTCTCCATAGAGAAGCCTTCTTCAAAAGCAAATCTGAGCATGCGAATGGCCTGGGACTTCCAAGGTACAACCAGGTACAGAGCTCTGCAGAGGCCTGGAAGGGAGATGGTAAGGGATGGCTCAGTCTGGGTTAGGCCCCTTTCTTAGTCTAGTGGGGCCAGGGGACTTTCTGTTTGCAAGTGCGGGTTGGTCCCTGCTGGTCCTGCTTCGGGAGACTCTTCTCCCTCAGAGAATGTTACCACCAGGGACAACACCTAGGCCCCGTGCTTCTTTGACCACCCTGGGGGAGGACAGTGCTCCTTTCTGAACCCCTCCAGTGCCCACTCTGCTCCACGGGACATGGTCCCACAAGGATGCCTGTGGAATGACTCCGGGGCATCTGGAACGCAGCAGGGTCTGGGTAGCTTTGGCAGGGGGTGAAGGTAGATCATGTTTCTCTCACAAGTCCTCCAACTCCTTGGGACCCAGGAATGGCAGGGCCTCTGAGAGTTGACAGGCTTATTTTTAGTTTGGATTCTAGCTCACCAGCCCAATTGTTTTTCAGTTTTGCCTAATTTGGGCCAGGTCTCGATGGTGTCTCCTAGGACCCTGGTTTGGACCGGTGAAGGTCTGCAGGACACGAGCTCTCGGGGCAGAGAAGTCCCGCCAGCTTCCCGTCCCTGGGCATTGGCAGAATACAGCCTATGCAGCCACCCTGGGGCCAGGACCAGCCGCTCCAGTTGGAGGAAGAAGGAACCTGGGCCTCCCAGCACTGAGCCTTTGGTGATTTGGGGTGGGAGGGGTGTAGACTTAACATCCTGTTTAAATTTGGCACTCTGTCGCATTTTTAACAGGGGTTACGACCCGCCCTCCTCCCTTTCCCAGGCCTATCCTTACATATTCCTCTAATCAATTTTTCACTTTTGGCTCTAATTCTGCTCTTCACCTTGGAGCTTTGGGCCCAACTGAGGGAGGAACAGAGCGATCAGTGTGATGTCTTGAACGCTGCCTCTGAACAGAGCTGACCATGGAGAGAGGCTGCCGGGAAGCCCAGCATCAGATGAGGGACAGAAGATAGGCAAGAGGAGAGGAGCGTCGAGAAGGGTGATAAAGAGGAGAGGAGAGGGTATGTATGGGTGGGGACTGTATCCTCGCATGTATGTTGGGGCTGGAGCTGGTGGTACAGGAGGTCTGGGAGGAAAGGCAGTAGAGAGGGGGAAATGCCTAATGGCAGGGAGGCACAACTGCCCCTGAGCCCAGACCCCAGCCCCCCGGCCCTGTGAGCAGAGGCCTGGCGAGCAAACACCCAGCCCCTCCGTGACTCCCCGGTGGAGGAGCCCACATTCCTGCCCAGCAAAGACCGCTTTAATCAAGGCTCCAGATCCTTCCTGCAGCCGCCCGGGGGGGACTGTAACGCTAAACACATTAGTGTGTGAGATTGAAAGGTAACACATTCTCATGGAAGCCCCCGGAACAATGGGCCTCGGGTCTGGGTTTCATTTGGAAGAACCGTGCGGTGGGAATTTCTCTAATCAAATAAAAGGAAAATGAAAAACTCTATCGTTTGCAAACTTTAATGCTCTTAATTGCATTAATTTGAAAAACATACAAGGTCTTTCTGAGTGTGGTGTTGGAGCCTGATAGGAAAGGAAGCTCGGGGCCTGGCCGGGGAGACGCAATGGGTCTGATGGCAGCAAAGGGTGCCTGGGAGAAGTGGCCCACCCCCCCATTGCCTCTCCCAGCCCTGGTATTTCCGGGGCCTCTGTGGTGGCTGAAGAGCCCCTGAGAGCCCCTTCAGGCCACTTGGCTTGGACCTGCTGCTGTCACTCACTCCTCATCTGCCCCAACCTGAGGGGGAAGGGCAGATCCTCTCTGCTCTGTCAGCACCCACGGCCCAGGGCCAGCTGCTCATCTCACAACACACCCCACCCTGGATACTTCCAGAAGGCCAAATCCCAGTCTGCCCCTTCATTTCCATTTCCCCTATAACACCCGCAAGAGCTCACCAGCCTCTTGCTCTGCCTCCATGGAGGATGCAACAGAAACAACCCACGTGAGGGCACTGAGTCTGTCAAGATGTGATGCGAGTTCCCTGAAGCCTGAAGGACTTCTAGCCTGGAGCTGGTAGGTGCTCAGGTGGGCCGCATTTCTCACTTGGAGTTCAAGGGTCTCTCTGGTGTCGCAGCTGCGGAAGGTTGTGGAGCCTGGAGGTTCCTAACCATGCTGAGGTGTGGCCCTCCTTGAGCAGCTGGTGAGAGCTGGAGGCTGCTCCTCAGAAAAGCGCACATTTGTGCACACGTGTGCACATGCGTGTACACACACACACACACACACACACACACATATGGGCTTGCACCCGATTTCACAGGTTTCACAGACACAAACGCCTGTAACCCATGCCCGTGTCAGAGGAACCAGTTTAAGTCCTGCTCCCGAGTCTTGGCAAGGACACTGACTTGGAGGTCCTTCCAGGGAGTGGGGTTCAAGGCACGGAGGCTAGGGGTGAGGACAGCTCTCCGGATGTGAGGAGGACCTGAAGGAATGATGTTCAGGCCTGTGGCTCACAGAGAGATGTCCCGGGCCCTGGGCGTGTTGGGGTTTCATCCCAGCACCTCCATTCTCAACCTGCTTGACCTGAGGCAATTAACCTTTGTCTGTAGAATAGTGTCAAGCCCAGCATGGCAGTGGGGAGGATTAAACAAGGTATGCTACATGCAGGGCAAGCCGTGGGGCTCCGTACACGTTGGTTCTCCTCAGGCCCCCAGTCCTTGGGTGACAATGGGGGAGTGAAGACTGTGTGTACATAGAAGCTTCTGGGTTTTGTGTTTAGTGGCCACCAGAAAGGATCTTTATCCATCCCATACTTTTCTCCCTGAATCACTGTTGTCTTCAGTGCTCCTTCAACCTGAGATTCCTGTCTCACCCTTGAACTTGTAGTAAGCTCATCTCTTCTCTCAAGTGTCACCTCCTCTGTGAAGCCCCGCAAAATCCCTGGGAGAACTGATTTCCCCCAGGAGGTAAGCTGGGGATGTTATTGTTCCTATTCTCCGGAAAACGGAGACTCTAAGAGGTTTGTTGACTTGCCCGAGGTCACTCGGTGGCAGAATCAGGACTATTATACCAGATGATGGCCCCCGCTGTCTAGCACGTTCCCTGAGCCCAGCACTGTGCCGGTCACTTTGTGAGCTTGTTGCATTTTACAGAACCCAAGTGTCTTGGCTCCAGATCCACATTCTTTCTCGGCACCACACTGCCTCCCAAAGACAAGGATGGAAAACCAGGAGGCTTCCAAAGCTCTTTTTAAATCTTCCTTTGTGAAGAATTCTGTCAGCCATCAGCCAACACCACTTACTCAGAGCTCTGGGTGTGGACTAATGAGGGACACAGTTCTTGCCCGGATGGAATGCAGGCTCCCAGGGAGGCCAGACCTGCAGCCCTCCAGGGGGAAACAGGAGAGAGAGGACATTCTGTGTCCCCTAAGAGTCCCACTCTCATTTCTGCCACTAACCAGCTGTGTGACGTTGAATACGGGCTGCCTCCCCCCGGCCTCAGTTTCCCTGTTTGTACCGCAGGGAGCAGAAAGCATAGGCCTCCAAGGACATCCCCAGCCATAGGATTCTAGGAGTCTGTGACTTGTGAGAGTGCCGTGGGCTAGCCACGCCTGGGCGCAGGGAAGCAGTGATCAGCGGGCGTTCTCGCCAAGGTGCGTTGGTCGGCTCTAATCTTGCAGCCTCATTGTCTGCCAGAGCTCAGACTCGGGAGGAGGGGCTCATCTGGGATAAGGGGAGCCCTGGTTGAAAATGATTTACAAAAGCAGGATGTGCTCAGGTTAGCAGGGCCTAATGGTGTGTCGGGGAACAGACAGATGTGCTCCCTAGGCTGGCAGATGTTATTTTTTAAGAACTTCTGAAGGCAGAGTCCTGGGGGGAGGGAATCTTGTGGTCTCATCTCTTCTGTGCCCCAGCAAATGCTCAGTGACTTATGAACATGACCTGATTTAATTCTCCCACCCGATCTATCAGGGAAGGATATTGCGCCCCACCCCCCTCCCAGCTCCATCCTTGCGAGCTTTGGCTCAGAGGCCAAAGCAGACCGTAAGGTGTGTTATCTGGCTGGGAGGTGGTGGAAGGAGATTCAAACCCAGGCCCCGCTGGTGCCAATGCCCAGGTACCGTGCACTCCACCATGTTGCCCTGCATCCCCTGTCCACTGGGGAGGAGTGCAAATGATAGGGCTGGCAGTTGAATTTCAACACCGTGGATACTCAGAGAAGGAAACCTCAAATGAAAGGGTTGCAAACTGAATACTCGTGAGCCTCGGTCTAAGCAAATCTAGTATACCCAGATCTAAAAATAGCTCCTTATATTGGAACTCTTTCCCATATGAATTCATTCCCATATGAAAAAGAATCACTGGTTCTTTTCTTCAAGAAGCCAACTCCATTAGTGCATTAAAAATACGACTCAAGTTGCCAAATGTGATTTCATATGCAATCCCCTCTCCCCACCCCCAGCCCCAACATACTTCTCACTCCTGATCCCAAAGGAATACTCCGCCTTGCCTAAAGAGAGGTTTGCCTACAGTGAGGGGGGCTGGTAATCAACATGGCAAACACATGTCCTGGATTTTCTGAGACTGGCTCACTTTCTAATATTAGGTTTCCATTGTCCCATGAGAACACTTGGAACTATCAGGCGTTGGGGATTGATGCTTTGGTTTGTAAAATGTGGTCACCATGGAGGACACTGTCCTCTCAAACCCATTTTCCAGCCCGGCAGGGCTTAAGGATAGGCCTGGTCAGAGAGGGGGTGATGTGGGGCGCCCAGAGCCTAGCCTATGAGGTGGGGTGGGGGACGTTGGGTACAGGGTGAGTCAGCTGAGAGACGGCCCCCTGGGTTCCTGGGATCTATTCATGAGCATGCCATACAAAACAGGCAGGCTGCAAAGATCCAGGGCTCCCTTCACAGGCACTCCTCTGCCTGGGAAGTGGGCGGGCGGGACCTGGAGGGTAGCCAGGGAAGAGCAGCTCCATGATTAAAGGGTTGGAGACCAGGACTTTTGAAGCAAGACTGGGAAGGCTGGTTATTTATGCATTCAGCTCTGGGCCCTGCCTCTACCCCACCCCACCCACCACCCAGCCACTCTGACCCGCAGCCTAGCCCTGGGTTGCACACTGGGCTCTGGGAGGGTGACAGGGAGGGCAAAGATTTCCAAAACCTTGACTGAGGACTTGGAGTATGTTGGCAGCGGCTGTAACACACATGCATCATGAATCTTCCCAACAAGCCTTTGGGATAGTGATTACCAGTCCCATTTTACAGGTGGAGACACTGAGTTTGAAATGCTTTGCTCAAGGTCACGTAGCCAAGTGGAACAAGGATCCAGGTCTCCTTCTCCTTCTCCTTCTTCTTCTTTTTCTTTTTTTGTTAAGTCATTTTTTAAATTCCAGTTAGTTAACATATAGTGTTATATTAGTTTCAGGTGTGTGCTATAGTGATTCAATAATTCTATACATGACTCAGTGCTCATCACAGTAAGTGTACTCTCTCTCTCTCTTTTTTATTATAAATGTATTCTTTAATTCCCTTCCCCGATTCCACCCACCTCCCCTTTGGTAAAGTATCAGTTTGTTCTCTATAGTTAAGAGTCTGTTTCTTGATTTCTTTTTTCTCTCTCTCTCTCTTTTTTTAAGGACCCAGCTCTTCTGATTCCCTCTCATCTCAGCAAAAACAGACATGGCAAAGGGTGAGGATAGAGAAATCTGACTAACTCCCTCCAATGACTGGGTTGTTCCCCAGCATTGTTTACGTGTGAAAATAGGAGTCCTTAAAACAGTAATTACGAGCAGGTTGCTGTAACGTACCACTTATTGAACAGCTACTACATGCTCAAGATTACTGCATGTAATCCTTACAACGATGCCCAAGGTAGGTATTATAATCCTTGTTTTGCAGATGAGGAAACTGAGGCTCTAAACATTACCTGACTTGTTCATCGTCCTAGCACCAGTAAAAGGCAGAACCAGGATTTCAGCTTTGATTGTTTGGTCTTCAAAGCCTGCAATCCTTCCATCGTCCCATGCTCCACATGACACAAATGTCATATGGCTGGAACTGCTGTATCCATGGAAAGAAAGTTTGGGCCATGACTCAGGAGCATCTTGGGAGCATTCTTAAAGCCAAGGAGGGTTATCCCAGAAGCTGCTGGCTGATTAGCTGTTTTCTAGCACCCGACACTAGCTCATTCCCATGCTTTGGCTCGTGCTGTTTCCTTCCTGCTTTAAAAATGTTTTGTGTTTAGGGGCGTCCGGATGGCTCAGTCAGTTAAGCATCCAACTTCGGCTCAGGTTATGATCTCACGGTTCATGAGTTTGAGCCCCCTGCATTGGGCTCGCTGCTGTCAGAGTCAGCTTTGGATCCTCGGTCCCCTTCTGTCTGTCCCTCCCCTGCTCACACACTCTCTCTCAAAAATAAATAAAACATTTAAAACATTGTGGTGTGTGTGTGTGTG